CCAAGGCATAGCTGGCAAGCGGCAGAGACGGAGCAGGCCGACCACCAGCTGGCCCAGCCCAAGGGAGGTAAGGCACCCGCCGGAAAAGGGGGAAAAAATGGCAGACAAAAAAAATGGCGGACAGCCTTGCTTGGTGACCCCCGTGAAATGGTCGATCGACCCCAAATGGGGTCCCGACCCACAGGTTGAGAACCACTGCAATAAAGCATGCATGAGACACATATTTTGCATTTCACCTGTAATAACATCCCTAACCACCTCTCCCTTTATATTAACCACAAAGACTTTGAATAGGGTCTATTATAAACTTTAGTGAGAGCTACTTACATTTCATTCTCATTGATAACAAACTTTAGCTAGTGGTGGCTCATATTGATAAGAGACCCTCTCAGAGCTGGCTGCATGACATTGGAGATGGAGTGATGTCTTTCGAATGTGTGCCTTTATATTTCTTGATTGAACAGTCCTCCCCATTGTACACCTGTTCACAATATTTGGCAAGGAAGTGGCATAATCTGGACTTCCATCACAGCTGAATTTTTGTAATCTAACAGATTCTTGCTCAAGTCTTATTCTGCTTCTTATTTTTATTGACAACATTGTGGTCATGATTACATTAACCATTTAAATACATCACTTTATTCTTTACCAATGCTTTATGATGCTTTGTTTTGCCTCTTTTGTGCTTCAAAGCTCCCATATCAATCTTTTGGAATAGTATATTCAGTTAGATGTATCACTTTGTTTACTCTGGACATTAGCTCCAGGAATTAGAAGGGCTAAAGTGCTGCTGGACTAGAAAATGGAAGATCAGAAGTTATTGTCCTCTCTTAAGCGGGACAGTTGGCTTGATAGCATGGGTCAGTCACCACTTTCTCTAAGCCCAATTGATCTCTCAGTGTTGTTGCTGTGGGGAAAACAGGAGGTGGGAACATTATGTACACTATCTTAAGTTGCACAAAATAATGCCAGACTACTAGTAGTAATAAGTTATTGTGATTGGTTGGCTGTTGTGATGATAGGTTATTTAAAGAATCCCTACTAAGTCTTCCTGAAATAGAAATGATTTTTTAAAAGATTGATGATAGTATAACTTAAAATTTCCCAAGGTATAGAATTCTCCAGTGAGCATCTCTAGAATTCACACTTCTAGGGAGTGTACAGTTTCATGGAGTCCGATATAATTTAAGGGTCATTCTGATCATTTTTAGGTTTCCATTTCTTTTCTTCCATTTTTACCTCCAATCAGCTAATTTTTGGAAACATTGCAGAATCCTGCAAAAGCTTTCTATCAGCAGTGTAAATGGAAAAAGTGTAAATATCAAAGGCAACACTTTTGTGTATATCATCTTTGTTCTGTGGGGAGGAACCTTTGCAGAAGAAGGAAGCTGAAAAACTTTAGCCAAGGTCCGTATGAAATAAAATATTAATAACTCTGCCAATTGAACAGTTATTACTTAATAATATTCACATATGAAGAGAACTTCCAAGTGTTATTTACTCCAATCTTCCAGGTATTTGTCTCCCCCAGTGAATTGGTGCTATTGTCAGCCATTCAAAATAAACCAGACCAGGAAAACAAAGCCAAGCAGGTAAATACAGTTTTAGCATAGCAATGGCAATAGCACTTAGATTTATACGCCACTTCATAATGCTTTACGGCAGTCTCTAAGTGGCTTACAGAATTAGCATATTGCCCCCAACAATCTGGGTCCTCATTTTACCAATCTCGGAAGGATGAAAGTCTGAGTCAACCTTGAGCGGGTCAGGATCAAACTCTTGGAAATGGGCAGAGTTAGCCTGCAATACTGCATTCTAACCACTGCACCACTATGGCTCAGATAATATATTCTTGAAAGTCTCAGTATCATTCTTCCTCCCTGTCTTTATCTTCATGAGAACTAGGGAGAGTCTTGTCGGAGACATTTTCTCAGGTCACCTGGACTCAGGTTTTTTTAATCTGATGACTAGCAGCTCTTCTCCCTGATCCTCAAGGTTATTTTTTTCTGCCCGTTACACTAATCTGTCTCAGGTTATCATGCCTGAACCCCAGATCTCAAGCCCTCCTTCCACTTCATGCCACTCAATAACCCCTCCTTCTTTAATGTAGAACTTCAGCTGCACCAAAACTCTCTACATCTCAGACTCTGACAAGAGAAAACACTTCCAGCTAGCCCTGAAGCTGTTCTTCAGTAATGGGCAGGAGATTGGTACATTCCACAGCAAGCTGATCAAAGTGATCTCCAAGCCCTCACAGAAAAAGCAGTCCCTGAAGAACACAGACCGTAAGTCTTTCCATGAAGAGCAGTTGCTGTAAGTTCTTTGGGATGGCGCTGTTTCCAGGAGAGGTGGTAGATTGGAATGCATTAAAGAAGGTACTGCTATATTAAGACAAGCTACTGTGGAATGGAATGGAGTGGAGTGGAGTGG